TATGAAATGTCTACTGCCATAAAAGGTCTTTGATCATTTTCCATTATAGAATTGCAGAGGTAAAGGTGACCCTGGAGATTTTCTACACCAAACCCTTAATTTTATAGGGTGGAACAGAGACCCAGAGATGTTAAAGTAACGTGATAGTTGGCACCAGACCCCAGGTGGCTTAAATTTCTGTTTACAATCTATTCCACTATTCCATACTATCTTGATGCAGCTTTAAAGTTTAACACATGCGGTCATATAGAAAACCTTGCAAGTAGCATATATACATATGTATGTGTATATATGTGTCTGTATGTATTTGATTGTTTAATAAGTAGATCAAGTGAAAATATACTTCCAGAGGACACTTAGATTAGTAGAAAACTTGCCCTTCCCCACTTCAAACACACATACACACAAACACACATGCATGGAAAGAAGTTAAAATGTGTGAACTGAAGGAAAACTAATATCTTGCACAGGTATCATATAGTAAAGAAATATACTTCAACACTGCTTGCTCTGCTGGGATGGGGTCGGTGCCCTGTTTTGGTGCCTCTCAATAAGCAATGCCTTGTATATCAATCTCAGGTGCTACCAAGATTGTTCCGGTGGAGGCTGGGCCCCCCGAAATAGGAGCTACAAATCCTGAGACCACTGCTGCAGACCTGGTGCCTCGGAGAGGGTACCAGGAGTATGCCATTCAGCAGACACCGTATGAGCAGCCGATGAAGTCAAGCAGGTAAGCTGTTGTGTTCTGTGTGACTCCAGCCAGAGGCTGAACACGAGTGGATGCCACAGAGCACAAGAAGGATTGGCGTGTTTATGTGGATTGTGTTTACAAACTTATTTGTGAAGGATATTGACTCCTTGATTTAATGGAAGAATTAATCCCTCCCTTGCAGCCCTTCATGTTTTTGGAACTGAGCACCAATTGGCTTAATGAAACTGGACCGTTTTACTTAAAGCAAACATACACTTAACCTTAATAAAAAGAAGTGTGAACGTGGTCTTAGTAAATTTGCAGATTTTTATAGCTGCACATATTATAATAAAAAAATATTTATTTCTCCCCACTTTTAAAAATAACCGAAGTATGTTGTAGAAAGTTTACACATCCTGTATGACATAAAGTTAAAATAAACCATAGTTGCTCTTTCTAGAAGTTACTACTATTGATAGTTTGGTTCATGTGCCTCCATAATTTTTTCATGATATACCAACATATATTGCTTTAATTTTGTTATTTTTTCCAAATACGAAATATTAAAAGTACTGTTTTCAATTTTTTTTTTAACTTATTACACCTCGAAAAGCTTTTAGTTTTAGTGTATATTTAAAGAATTGTGTTTGCTATTATGAGGATCTGTTGTAGTTTATATAGCCAGGTTTTGCTGTGATGGACAATACAGTGATTAACGTTTTGGTACATGTATCTTTCCATACTTCTTCCAGACTTCCTGTGGGATAAATTGCTAGATTGGAAATTGCTGCATCAAAGATGTGAACACTCAGAGCTTTAAACTGACATTAAAACTGTCCTTCAGATACTTTGGCTCAGTCGACCACCCATAGCGAATGAGTGTGTTTCTGACACTCTCCCCAGTTTGTCTTTAGCTACAAAGTCACTTAACAAACTCTGATCACCCAAAGTCTGAAAACATTCTTGCCAGCTTAGAGGAAAGACAAAGGAAGTGATTTCCCTCTGTTTCTGGAAGAGGAGAGATGACGTATTCTTGAGCAGAGTGTAAGCTTTAGAATCAAACGGACTTCAGTTCACTCTGACTCTTCTTCGTGCATTCAGGTCAACAAATTGAGCACCTATTATGTGCTGGGCACTGATGTGATATGACAAAGAGTAAGACAGACACAGTTCGTGCCCTGATGAAGCTTATACTCTATTTAACTTGAAACAAATTGCTTTGCCTCTGACATCTATTACACTATTGTAAGATTGTCTATTAGAATCTTAGTTTAGTGGTGAGAATAATTGATAAAATATATGCAAAGTATCTGGCACATGTTGCACTCTCATTAAATTGTATTATATCATGTGGTATGCTTCATTAATTTGTAGCCTGAGTCCTCTATTCTCGTAAATGTGAACAACTGAATTTATTGATGAAGTTGTAAAATAACTAATTCCTTTGGCTAATCTCAAAGAGAATTAAATCTCAAGGGCATTCTGTGTCTCAACTCCGTTTGATTTGTAGATCTTAAATAATTATCTTCACAATATTTAAAAATCTGTTGGGGAGGGGATCAGCTAAATGTTAATCTAGTTACAGGTAAATTATACTGAATATTTAATCAACAGATCTAGGCTATATTCCTGTTGTCATGTATTCTATTAATATTTTACTGTGTAAATTATAAGGTAACTATGAAAGAGACATTTTTTATATGAGGATTTTGCTTTGTAAAATACAGATTAAAAACATTTATGTTATATCATTTTTTCTCTCATAACAAATGATACATATTTATTATATAGAAAATTTTGGAAGTTCAGCATACTAAGGGAAAAAATTATATTGTAATCTCATTACCCACAGATAACAACTATTAAAATTTTTAATGTATTTCCTTCCAGCCTTTTTTATAGCACATATATTTTATAAAATTGAGTTTATATTTTATATGTGAGTTTGTATCCTGCTTTTAAAACTCAGTCACATTATACTTGTATTCCTTTATTACTCAGATTAATCACAAACCCTTTGTTCGTAGCAATGTCCTGCAATTTCATGAGGATATTACTCAACTCTCATGTTGAAGCCAGTGAGATCTTTTTAAAATGCTCACCTTGTACTTAGGAGAACAGAGGACTTCCAACACTGGCCCTGCCCACTCTGAGCCTCGTGCCCCTGCCCTAGTCCCCCTGGTTTGCTCGCTCCTGCCAGTGGCTGGGCCCTTTTCACCTCCTCGATCACTTCTTGCAGGTGCCCCTTACTCTTCCTGGGTGCCTCCCCTCCTCCTTTCTGCTCAAATGTCCTGTCCTGTCCTGAGGGAGGCCTTCCCTCTCCCCTAGACCAGCTCAGTCTGCCCTGAAGGGACTCAGGGCAACCTGCCCTTTTCCTTCTCGGCAGGGACCCTGATGGTCCTCATCCACTTGCTTTCATAGTTAGTAAGCTGGCCCGGCTCCTGCTAGAAGGTGAGCTCCAGAGAGCAGGGGTTGTGTTTGTCTGCTTTTATATCTCTATTGTCTGGAACACTTTTTTGAATGAATGAATGAGTGAAAAGTGCAAACTAGTTCCCTACCTTGGGACTTTTGAGCAGCTTCCTATTCTTAACTATTGTGAAAAATGAGCCATGAGCACCTTCCTCTGAATTTCGTATTCTTTCTTTCGGATAACTTTGCAGAAGTGAAATAAAACTGGATTAAGGTGTCTGACCTTTTAAAGTTCTGCCTAATTTTTTTCCTGAGATGCAGTGGTGAGAGTACCTCTCTTATTGAATGGGCAACAGTGGAGTGAAGTCATTTAATAGGAATTGTACAGACATCGAGGCTCTGGGCATCGGTTCATAGTGATAGTGGCTCGTGCTTGAGAGTCAAGTGCAGGCTGCTTAGCACCTTCCCCAGATGCATTGCCCTTAGTGGAAAAAGGGCACTGCAGACTTTATCACATATTTGTCTACTGATACAAAAAGTCAGAGCAAAAGATTCTCCCAAGACCATTTAGATCTTGCAGTAGAGGAGGAAATACAGTGATTTGTTTATTTAATTAATGTTATGAATCCAGGGTTTCTTTCTTCGGTGTTCTTTATACCAGTAAAATGCATTACCTTGTGATATCTTTGTCATTTGAGAAAGCTCCAAATTACTTTCCTTAAATCAGCCTTGAGCTTAGCATGCAGGCATTATAGTAACTTTCAAATTTGAATATTTTAATTACATAATGTGAATTGTACCCTCCAGTGTTTATGGATTGCAACCCATTTAAATACTAATTTAAAGACAAGGCAACCTGTATTGATGAGACATAGTTCTTTGGAGAGTTTTGTAACTATAGACTTTACAGATGCAGTCGGCACAGTTGATGGTATCTGATTAATAGCACTACGTGATTGTTAGTAGTCTAAGGTCCTTGAATAACTTAGACATGGCGGTCTAGAGGGAGCACTTATGGCCAGAAAGGACATTCTCCCTGCCTCTTTGATCTCATCTGCCAATTCCTGTCCCTGATACCTGTTGTTAGTACTTTGGTGACTGTCATTTGCTGATTTCAGAAATGAGGCTGGACCGTCTCAACAGTTGGAAGCCCCACACAGGGAGCTGTATGTGTATGATCACGTTGGTGACAGGTTGCTGCACAACAGTATTTTCAGGCCATTCAGAGGATGAGAGTGAATGTGTAGGCTCTAGAGTCAGTCTGCCTGGGTTGAAATCCTGGCTTCACTACTTACTAATTGTATGATGTTGGGCAAATACTCAGTTTTCTCACCTGTAAAATGGGTACAATAATAGCACTGGAATTAAATACTGAGATAGTGTTTGTCATATTCTAAGTACTCAATAATTGTTAGCTATTATTATTATTATTATTACCATCTCATTTAGCATACACATTGCCATATTGAAAGACACAAGAGTCAGGAGGCAGACCATGCTTTTCTTCTTCCACCATGTACACAAAATCTGACACGGTGCCTGAAACACACCGACAGGTGTTAACAAATTGCAATCATGTGAATAAATGGTGTAGGAGGTTAATAAACAATGGTCCTATTTTTCCCCATCTGAGTTCTAAACCTACCTTGATAGAGGCAGAGGAAGATGGAGAGTCACACATGAGCTCTATTACTGACAGAGCTGGGGAGAGAACAGCATGGTGTAGGCCAACACCAAGCCTCCCGTTACTGTGCTGTGGAATTAGACAGCCTGCCTCCCCACAACACAGTCCTGGACCGCTCCTGGCCAGGCTCACAGATGCCCACTTGGCAAGCATCTGCTGTGCCCCATGCTCAACACAGGCAGCACATCCGCACCAGAAGGGAGAGGCAGAGCCCAGCTCATGATTTATGGGTCCTGTTTCAAAGTCACTCTTTTCCTGGGAAGAAGTGAGAACATGGAGAAAGGCCAGGGGTCTTTCACTAATGGGAACTTACAGAAAGGGAAATAGGGTCATCCTTAACGGTTGAATGAATAGGAAAATCTGGATTATCCAAGCTGTTGGAAAGCTGGTTGTGTCTAGTCTCATGGAGCAGACAGAGTTCATTCCATTATGACTGGTCTCATTAAGACATCCCAGAATCCACACACATCAGCTTGGAACACTGCTGGTTACAGTGCACGTTGAGAACCACACATGCCTCTTCCCTCTCTTGCCTCCCTCTTTCTTGTTCCTCAAGCCTCAACCCAGACTTCTCTTTGGCAAGTTTTCCCAACCACCTTAATCCAGGTTAGAGGTCTCTTTCTCTTTCTTCCCTGCCCATATTCCTATCAACTCTTTCCACACTGTTGTGCAACCATTTGCCAACCTGTGTTCTCTCCCCGAGACTGTGTGCTCCTGGAGGACCACGACCCACACTAGTCCTCTTGTCCTGTTTGTTGAGTGAATGGATGCATCCATCCATCCTCTGGATTTAGTTCACTGTTAAGCCTCTGGTGTTTGGTTCATAAAAAGGATTTAGCATTCATGAGGAAGGTTCAAGGTCTCCGAACATAACTGTGCTGTCATCTGTTTCTAGGCTAGGTCCCACTCAGCTCAAAATCTTCACTTGTGAGTACTGCAACAAGGTCTTCAAGTTCAAGCACTCACTGCAGGCCCACCTGAGGATCCACACCAACGAGAAGCCGTACAAGTGCCCCCAGTGCAGCTACGCCAGCGCCATCAAGGCCAACCTCAACGTGCACCTGCGCAAGCACACTGGCGAGAAGTTCGCATGTGACTACTGCTCGTTCACCTGCCTGAGCAAGGGCCACCTCAAAGTGCACATCGAGCGGGTGCACAAGAAGATCAAGCAGCACTGCCGCTTCTGCAAGAAGAAGTACTCTGATGTCAAGAACCTCATCAAGCACATCCGAGACGCACACGACCCACAGGACAAGAAGGTCAAGGAGGCCTTGGATGAGCTTTGCCTGATGACCAGGGAGGGCAAGCGGCAGCTGCTCTATGACTGCCACATCTGTGAGCGCAAGTTTAAGAACGAGCTAGACCGAGACCGCCACATGCTGGTCCACGGTGACAAGTGGCCCTTTGCCTGTGAGCTCTGTGGCCATGGGGCCACCAAGTACCAGGCATTGGAGCTGCATGTCAGGAAGCACCCCTTTGTGTATGTCTGTGCTGTGTGCCTCAAGAAGTTTGTCAGCTCCATCAGGCTGCGCTCCCACATCAAAGAGGTGCACGGGGCTGCCCAAGAGACCTTGGTCTTCACCAGCTCCATCAACCAGAGCTTCTGCCTCCTGGAGCCTGGTGGGGACATCCAGCAGGAAGCCTTGGGGGACCAGCTGCAGCAGGCAGAAGAGGAGTTTGCGTTGCAGAGGGTGAATGCACTCAAGGAAGAGTCCCATCCTGGGGACACTCGGCCCGAGGAGGGACACAAGGAGCTGGAGGCCCATAGGGAAATGCCTGCCCCGGCTGGGCATCTAGACTGCACCCAGGCCAAAAGTGCAGCCCTGCCGCCCTGTGAGCTGGAAACCACTGTGGTCTCATCAGATCTGTCTTCTCATGCAGTGGTTTCAGATGATTTTTTGTTGAAAAATGATAGCTCTTCTGCTGAGGGTGACACTGCTCCTGATAAGCCCTCAGACACCCAGCACCGAGGTTCGGATCAGACTCAGGGTGAAGTAATCACGCTACTACTCTCCAAGGACCAAAGTGCTGGGCCAAACAAGGAGACCCAGGGTGCCAAGAGCCCCCCAGGGGAAGGTCAGAGAATGGCTGCCCTTCCGGACAGTGACCCCGATCCCAGCAGATGTCTCAGGTCAAACCCAGCAGAAGCCTCAGACCTCCTTCCTCTAGTAGCTGGTGGTGGGGACAGTGTCACGCACCAGCCTGACTCTTGCAAAGCTGCCCCTGAGCACCGGTCCAGCATGACTGCATTCATGAAGGTCTTGGACAGTTTACAGAAGAAGCAAATGAACACCGGCTTGTGCGAGAGGATCCGGAAGGTTTATGGAGACTTGGAGTGTGAATACTGTGGTAAGGAAAGGCAGCTGATGAAGCTCCCCTTCCCAGCAACCCCGTCCACCCCCAACACGCTGTGGTCACCTCATGTTTGGTTTGAGCCCATGGCTCTTTGCAAAGAACACCTTCCAAATGAGCCACATGCCCTCCATGGTAGATAGGAATGGGTGACCACCGTGTTGCAGTTAGCACTTGGAGTCTTTGTGGAGGCAGCTGGGATGAGCGCACAGCTGACAGTGTTGGCTTGGTCAGGTGTGTGTGCTGAGGGTGACCCTAAGCCCTCTACCAGAACTTTAACCATGAAGAATCTTTCTTCTGGCACATGACAAGTTTAAAGTCGAGCTTTAAGTTGTGGCCATGTACTAGATGAGCTGAGAAAGGTTACAAAAGTGGCAGTAGATCTCTGTAGGGAGGCCCTGAATAGCACCCTTCAGCTCACAGTGAAAGCAGGGTTCCTGATCTGCCAGGAGCTAGTCGTGCAGGAAGTAGGAAGTCCAATTCTGGACCCGGTGTCCCAGGAATGCCAGTAGAGTTTAGAGGCTCTTCGATTTATGCATGTTCATCATAGTATTTGGCACCATAATTGGTCCTCAGTAAACATTCATTTCCTCCTCTCCCAGCCCTGACATCATGCAAAAAATAGGAGCACCCTTAATATTTGCAACCTCTCACCTTTGAAAAGTAATTTCCAGACAGAGATGTGGTGGAAAGTGCGAAAGGTGACCCGGACAAGCACAAGAAGGAGATAAATATTATAGTTAAAAATAACAATAATTTAAAAAATTCAAATTCAGTATAAAAGAAACTTCCTTGTTCTCATGTGAAAATATTTTTTTAGGCAAACTTTTTTGGTACCAAGTGCATTTTGATATGCATGTCCGCACCCACACCCGGGAACATCTGTATTATTGCTCCCAGTGTCATTACTCTTCCATCACCAAAAACTGCCTTAAACGTCATGTAATTCAGAAACACAGTAACATCTTGCTGAAGTGTCCCACTGACGGCTGTGACTACTCGACTCCAGATAAATATAAGCTACAGGCACATCTTAAAGTTCACACAGCACTGGTAAGTAGCAAGCCCAAGCGGCAGCCCCGTCTCCCTTGGGTGCTCATTGCTTTCTCAAATTTATGCATATGCGGGTGTCCCTGCTGCAGGTCATCCATGTGCAAATGTCCAGCCCTGAAAACACAGAGAGGGCCTTCTCCTGAAACAGCTTTTCCCCTTACAGAAGGCTTCGCTCTGAGTTCCTTTCATAGCAAGAGTCTCTAATATGTTGAAAAAAAAGAGCAGATTGAACAAATTGTTTTCTCTGCAAATTTTTCAGCATCCAAGAATGTGTACAGAAGAAAGATCTACAGAGTAGAAATAAAGCTAGGATTCTTTAAATGACATTTTAAAGAATTGTTAATAACAGAGATAGCACTAATAGCTACTACTAAAGGTTGTTGAGCAGTTGAATTAGATAATGCCTACAAAGTGCTAGGAACAGCATTTGGTTTACAGTAAGAGCACAGTAAATGTTGATGACAACTATTGTAATATTATTAGGTTATTTATTGGGTAAACTATCTGTGAGAACATGCCTGTGAAGCACTTTTATTTTTTAAAAAAATTGTATGTTAATTCAAGGTGCTATTAATATTCACAATGGTAAATTTGTTTAGTTCTTTGGTGGGAGATCATGTAACACAATGAATGAATGTTTATTTGGCAAATTCTAATCTAACTCAAGAGGCTGACACCTGAGAGTGATTTGAGACTTCTTAAAATTGTAAAGGAGACACATTTGGCCCCAGGTGTGGTTGTTTTAATGCATGCCTTTTTATGCTACAGAGAGCACAAAATGAGACTTCAGAAATTTGATGTGCTACTGTGGTTTTCTGGCATGAAAATCACTAACACCCTAGCAGTTTGTTACTAGGGGGAAAGTCAGGGTGTTTGGGTATAGTAGGTAGGTCAGAGCACAGGCTTTGGGGTTAGATAGCAGGATTCAAACCACATCTCCAGCACATTCACAGGCTCTGTGGCCTCGGACAAGCCACTTGTCCGTTCTGAGACCTGTACAAAATATATATTTAAAGAAATATCCTTTATATACATACACACGCACACACACACACACACACACACACACACATATACACATTCATATATACACAGACACATACAAGCATGCACATATGCATTTATACAAGCCTACACACATACATACACTTATGTACATATGTGTATACATATATGTGTGTGCATATATATTTGTATATGTGTCCACATCTATGGTTATTGGGAAATAAAAATGGGATGCTCTGGAAAACTTGGCACAGTGCTTGTCATATAGTTGCATAGCAGCTGTTGCATGTCACCTGGTACTTCTTCATACACGTTCTCCCTCCCTGTCTGTCTGTCTCTCTCTTTCTCTCTCTATCTCTCGGGCGTGAAGGCATGTGGTTTGTAATTCATTATGGAACTGCTGTTCAGTTGGTACTGCTTCCAGTACTCTCTTAGGGCAGGGAAAACTGAGGTGGCAGAATTCATTAATGACTTTGCTAGAATTTCGTGTGAAGTCAAGAGGGAATGAAGCCAACATGACAACAGACTCTTGGGAGAAGTCTTGGATTGTAGCAGTCAAGACCAGAGAGCAGACTGCTGGGTTTTAACCCTGGATCCCCCATTTACCATGTGTTTAGCCTTGGGATGAGTCATGTAACCACTCTGTGCCTCAGTTTACCCATCAGATGAGGATGAAGTGAGGGAATATATGTGTCTCAGAACAGTGCCTGGCATGGGGTAAGCACTATGCCATTGACTATTGTTATAATTTATTTTCCTTACAATTTTGAAACTTGCTGCTCTGGATTCAGATTTTGAAACACAGGCTAAAAGGACAACAGGAACAACGAAGTGGTACATGAGCTTTACAATCTGGGACTGCCTATATTTTTCCATACTCGAGTTCTGCCTACCCACTGTGTGTGTCAGAGGGATTCGTGGTCAGCACCCTGGATGGTGATGCTCAGCCTCCGGGGCATGTCTCTGGGCCTCGTGGTCAACAAGGCAGTGTCAGGAATGTGCACTGAGATCTTTGATCCTCATTTCATATGCTTTCGTTCTTCTTAATATACTACCATTTAAAGAAGTTTCTCTTTGAAACTTTCTGTGGTTATGATAAGCCTTCAGAAAGGCTTAGCTCTTCAATATCAACACTTCAGAAGACATCTGGGAAGTATGTGTTGGGCGAAGGAGAAGGAACAGCTGCTGTTTTCAGGTCCTGTGCTGTCTTAATTCTCATGTCACTTCTAGGGGTTAGGGATTATTTCCTTTACTGGGCAAATTAGGAGCCTGGCGTTGTAGAGTCCTTCAGAAACTTGCCCATGGTCACACTGTCAGTAAGGGCCAGAGACAGAATTGAAGCCGTGCTCTCATCACTGCCCCAGTCTGCCCACTTTGTGGCAGTTGGTCATTAATACCAGCCACACCATTCTTGGACATTTGAACATCATCTCAAGAAATGAGGTCCAGGTAGACTTTGTCCCATGAGGGCAGGGACTGCATTGATACTTCCTGTGCTGTTAAGTGGCAATTGTGCCTTATGCTGCAATAATAAAATGTCTCTGCAAGTTACTGCAAGAGAAGAACAGCGTGCCGAATAAGGGAGTGTGACTCAGTTGACCTTATAAAAAAGGATGTTATCCTGCTTCTCATTAGCACTCACGTTTTCTTAGGAGTTGTTAAAGTTTAATTTCAATCTTTTCCTTCGCTGATATTTGCAGTTCTTCCAGTTGAGACACTTTTAAAGGTGAGCGTGCTGCCGCTGCTCCTGAAGCTGGCTGATACAGGCTGGAGGCCTCGTTCTCTACGTGCCGGGCATGGGGATTTCAAATATGAGTAGGACCTGGTCCCTGCTTTCAAGGTGCTCTTGGTTTTGTAGGGGGTTAAACAAGTCAATAGTGATACAGCATGACAATGTGGGGGACCGAGTGAAGTCAACATAGGCTTCGCTGCCCAAAGAAAAACCACCAAGAGGAGGGCCTGGAAGGAGGGGTTCTAAGGTGGATGAGTAGATTTGGGCAAGGGAAGAGGGCAAGGAAAAAATTCTCAGTAGAGTCGACAGCACAAACCCAAGGGGGAGCCTTTTGTATCATATTTATTCCAGAATATTGAATTACTAAGCATTTTCCGTGGAGCAGGTGGAACATATTGCTAGTGTAGTATGATCACATAATTTATGAAAGTAGGTTCCAGTATTTTGAGTTTAGACAACAGTTGTCTTTTGAGCCTGTAAATTATTTCTGTAATGAAGCCAAGGGTACCGAGGAAATGTTGATACAGTCAAAAAAATCTGCTTTCTCTGAATGTAGACTCTTTTGATATGATAATAAACTATCGCCAAATCATTTTTTAATAGAATTCCATATTTACAAGGAAAGTTAAGGTGGATTTTTCTGGTAACAGCTTTATTGAGATATAATTCACATACCATACGATTTGCTCATTTAAAGTATAAAATTCAGTGGTTTTTAGTATATTCGCAGAGTTGTACAACTATCCCACAATTAATTTTAGAATTTTTTCATCATCCCATGAAGGAACCCTGTACCCATCAGCTGTCATCTTTACTTCTCCTGCCTGTGCCCTAGGCTGCCACTAATCTACTTTCTGTCTCTCTGGATTTGCCAATTTTGGGCATTTCATATAAGAGGCATCATAAAATATGTATATAATACAGTCTTTTGTGGCTAGTTTCTTTCATTTATTTCATCCATGGCATAGCATGTGTCAATACTTTATTCCTTTTAATAGTTAAATAATATTCCATTGTATGGATATGCTACAGTTTGTTTATTTATCAGTTGATGGACCTTTGAAGGTGCATTTTTGGTGGTAATTTCACCAAGATGGTATTTCCATCTATAGAGTGTTTTAAATCCACCCGATTCTATCTGATTGTTTGTGAAATCAGCAAAGTAAAGCATGGAGGTTCACTCTCAGAGGTTACATGTTGATCTTTCCTTAAGGTTTCTAAAAATTATGAAGCATCTGTAGGAAAAATCACCCGTTTTTTCATCATCACCCACTAGTATTTAGCTGTGTCATCTTTGCTGTTCTTGATGCTAGTAGTGTCATCACTGCTGTGAAGTGGATAAAATTGGGGATTTGGAGGTACAGGACAGGGCTCTGGCCATAGTTCTGTGGCCTTGTCTAGACTGCTTGGTCTTTGAGCTTTATTTCTCTTTACCTGAAAGTGAAGTGAATAATACCACCCTGCTTCCTCCAGAAGGTAGCAAAGGTCCAGCAAGATAGTATGAATGTACTCTATGATGTAAAAATGCCTACAGATGTCCTTGTGGTTGGGCTGAGGACTCTGGTCATGGCCGGGTCTGGCCGGGTCTATCTGGGTCAGGACAGTGGTGCTGACTGGGAAATGGATGGAGCATGAGGCAAATCCTTGCACCAGCACAGGGCTTGGTTGCCTTACCCGTGACCCTGGAGATGGGATCAGGGATGTTGTAATTCTGGCTTGCCTTCTGCATTTGTTTCATTATTTACTGCTTTCAGGACAGATTCTCATGCAGAGCAAATACTAAGGAAATTTAAAGTAGCAAACCCCCTTCCCCCAAATGGGCCTATATCCAAGTCCATTCCAACTGCATTAGGACTCTAGGATAATTTGGCTAAGTGCCTGCTTCTGTGACTCTTACAACTGTTTCTTAGCTAAAGATGCACCTAATGATGGGAAGGAGTATGTACATTGAATATGGTTTCTTCCCACCATCTCCTCCTCGTTAGTAACTGGACGGTGTTGACTTATAGTAAAAAATGTATTGGCATTAAGGAAATATGGGGACCTAGCCAAAGTTTGTCAGTGACATTTCTGGAGCAAATCCACATTTTACAGAACTGTGCCAACTTCATAAAGGGAAGACTTGGGCAAACATGATTTTTGTAGAATGAGAAGGGGCTTCAGGTTCTGATGGACCCGAGTTGAGACTCCATATCTACTTCTGTGATTTGGGGCAAACTAAACTGCCTAGTCTTCCTGAGCCTCAGTTTTCTCATCTGTAAAA